TATTTCAAACTTGCAAGTTGAGTTAAAAGTTATGGTAATAAATTCATTTTTTTTTTATTAAAACTTTCACTTTAAAGAACAAAAAGAAGTAGGTTCAAAATGATTACTTTTAACATATTAAAAATCAATAATAATTTGAAAATAATTAATTATAAAAATTATATAATATATAATTAAAATAATTACTAATCTGGATATAATTAAGGAAATAGGAGTTGATGTTGGGTTGGGTTGGTTACATTTTTAACTTTATAATGCTATAACTCATTGAAAAGTGTACGAATCAACACAATTTTTTTATGAGAAATAATATTTTTTAATAATCCCTTTTTCATTCGACATACTTTATCTTAATCAGGGTATTAATAAGAAACTAGCAGATAATGTAGCTTTTGTAATTATCCACCAATTTCTTAGAATTAAACACTATCTACTGATTTGCATCGAAGCGTTTCTTATGATAGTGATTTTAATCACTGTCAGATTAAATCTATACTGGACCCAACTATGCAACATCCCCACTATGCCGCGACCCCACTGTGCTGGGTTTTTTTTATTATTACTATAATACACTAAATTATTACTATAAAATTAAAAGATCTAATAGGAGTGTTATTAAGTAAAGTTTACAAATAGATTTTAATTTTAGAATTAAATTATGTGTATGTATTAAATTTGTGTTTTAAAATTAGATTTACTGTGAAAAAAACATATTTTTTAAATATATTACAGTAATATTGTTAAAAAATATTTGGTACTATTAATAAAAATTAAAAAAAAATATAATACACGCCCACTTATTTTTCACTCCAATCACTGCTGTTGAGATTTTAAATTTCTTATGTAATACTTACACAAAAGTGAATCATATTTAAAAAATTATGAAAAAACCTTTATTAAAACTAAAACTGACGTTAAAGAAAATATATCTCATAGTTACATTAGAATCATAGATAAAATTAATAATAATTAGTAGGTCAAATTTATTCTTATTTATTATTGTCCAAATATTAGATCATGCCAAAAATAAATTGTTTTATCAGCCCATCAAGAGCCATGCGGCCTTCCTAAAAGAGAAGATTTCTTAACCATTTATACTCCGGGACAGGTGGTTAATCCGTCGCCGAAACTATTCAGGCAAGTATTATGTTAAATCGGTAATAATATTAACAACAAAATCGAATTTTATTGGAAAATCTTATTAATAATAAAAATAAACCAATTTTCTTGAAAATAAAATAAAAATATTTTACATAAACGCTAGAATGGCCCTTGAACAATTTTTTTTTTACAGTAGCTCTCAAATTTATTTTGTTATTTATAAAATTAAAATGTCCAAAACTTGGGACTGAATCATTAAAGTTAATCAAGGACCCCTGTCATAAGATGTAGAGTTTTTATTTTTACAACCGTTAGCTTGGTTAATACCATTGGTATATCCTGAGGAAATTTAAGTGCAGTGGTTTCCCTTTGCCTTCTGCACTGGGAATATAGTGTTTATTTATAGCAGNGCAGTGGTTTCCCTTTGCCTTCTGCACTGGGAATATAGTGTTTATTTATAGCAGATTCATTAAACTTTTGCAACTCTTCATAAGTTGCATTTCGAATAAATATACAATTAAAGCTTTTAAAATAGGTCAATTGTACAAGTGATCCAGTTTGAATAGGATGAGTAGGTTTTTCTTTTTGTTGAGCAAGTTCAGGAAGAACTGCTATTAACAGAATAAGTAGTACATAAAATAATATTACTTCATCTCAATACATTGAAGTATTACTAAAAATAAAGCTAAAAAAAGACTAGTCGAACATTGACTTTGCCATTACAAGAATTTATAATCAAATGATTGATTTTTAAAAGCAAAAAACTAAATCAACAAAAATAATTAATTTCATCATTTTTTGTATTATTTTAATGTTATTTTAAATGTAAACATTCGCGTCATTTTATGTTCCAACTTGTGTGTAGTTTCCTTTTGACAATATTGGACATCAATATTTTAAAAATATCAAATTTTATCAAAGACGTAACATACACCATAAACAGCGACGTAGCAGAAGTAGAATTCTATCATTCCCCCGCAGAAAACTAATTCAGCTATAAAGTGGGGTATGTGAAAGGCTTTACTTCCCATTGGTCTATTATTAATCTACAGTGAAAACTCTACCCAAACTATAAAACTGCATACGCTACTGACCAAAATGACGATATTTTAAATAAATTATCCCCTATTAAATATATGCATGTAAATGAACAATTAAGACAACACATATGAGCATTTCAAATATACTCTTGATAACGTCAGTAACTTAAAAAATATAATTTGGCTTAAAAATTTATAACAGAATAAATATATCTCAATTTATGACACTAAAACGCAAAAGTAATAGAACAGGATAACACATTTCAACACTGTAACTGATGTTAGCTTTCATTTAAATTTTTTTAAATATATTCATATATTTAAACAGAAATTAATAATCAAAACATAACAGTTTAATATATAACTAATATTATAATTAAGTATAAAACTTATATTTTTACAGAATTAAGTAAAATCATTGAACAAATAAACATTTAGCTATTTTAATATTAAAATTAACAAGAACTTTTTGGACTTTTTTTAAATAATTTTGCTTAGTTATAATTAAAAATTACTCTTAAAAATATAAAATTATAAATAGGCATAACAAGAGTGCGTAAAACTTTTTGACCTAAAGTATGTTATTTAGATAATTACAATAGTTACAATTTTTACAATAGCTTATAAAATACAATTATTTTTATTTTCATAGTTATTCTAGATATTAAGCAATAATAATTGCATGCCAGTCTTCAAAATTCAATAAAATAAATTTATTTTACTTTATTATTTTAAAAAGAATAAGTATAAAAAATAAATTTATAATCAAAAGATAATTCAACTATGATATTAAACTAAAACAATCATCTTTCTTCGGGAAGTAAAAAATATTAACACATAAAAGTAAAAAATTTTAAAACAAAAATAAAATATTGTCACTTCACATTTAAATTAAATTTAAAAAATGTCATTAATAAAACATGTTAACTTATTAAAATTTACAATTATTTATTTAAATATTAGGATTATTCATCTGATGTTTTCTTGCTGGATAAGGATATATTTTTCTAGTTTCCATTTCATCATTTACTTTAGTGCCTACAAAAGATTAATTTTCAGAATTACTTTTTAGTATCTATATTTATATATAATTCAATTTTTTACAAATAAATTATTATACTATAAATTTTATAAAACAAGTAAATCAAAAATTTATTTCCTTTCTTCAGATTAAAAGTATATTTGTTTAAAAATAAAGTATTTGTATTGTTTAAAAAAATTAGTTGGTTTATTTTAATTTATAGATTTAACCAATAACTAAAATTAAAAAACTTACTATTTAATTTATTTATGGCTGATATAGGAGGAGTATTTAACAAAGGTATAATATCATCAGTAATATCTTTATTGTCGTACTCAGTTCTTAATACAACATCATCTAGCCCTTGAGGATTTAAATCATTGAACATCTAAAATTTAGAAATTAAAACAAGAATGAAGTATAAAAATATCATGTTAAAAATAAAATTTCCCAAGACTTACAATGATAAGACGTCTATTAGGAGTGATTATTTGTTGCTGAAAATAGTTTTTAACAACATTTAATTCATTTTCTGACTTTATTTTAGGCAAGTTTTGCAATTGTACAATAAATGCAAAATCATTAGACTGGAAAAAAATCACAATAAACAATATTTAGAAATTATGGATTTTCTTAATTAGTTAAATAAAAAATGATAAATATAAATTTAAAAAAAATTATAACATTTGTAGAATTTAATATTAAAATATTATATAAAAAATAAATTTTAGTAACCTAAGTATAAAGTAGTTTTATTTTACTACTCAGGCATTTTTTTTTTTTTATTATTGCTTTATTAACCCATTAAGGGCCATAGCGGCCTTCCCCAAAAGAGAAGATTTCTTAACCATTTATACTCCGGGACGGGTGGTTAATCCGTCGCCGAAACTATTCAGGCATATATTATGTTAAATCGACAATAATATAATGAAGTATTCATATAAAAACCGTTTAAGATTATTATTAAATTAAGCTAAAAATTGAATTACTTTTTTAAATTCTTCATCTAACTCGTAAATATCATCACAATTAACACATTCTTCATTCCCATAATCTATATTTTTGACATAGTAACCATCATTAGATTTTTCTAACACTATTGCTCGTGAATACAAGCCCATATTCATAAACGACATTACACACACTTTTTCCCCAATATCTACTGTTGCTTTACTAACAATATTTTTTTCTAAAAAAAGGGATAAAATATATATATTTATGTTTATTTTGAAAATTACAGCTTAGTTCAACATGTGACATAGTCTCTATTACTTTTTCTATAATGCACTGTTAATTTAGTAGCAAATTCATTAAACTTTTGCAACTCTTCATAAGTTGCATTTCGAATAAATATACAATTAAAGCTTTTAAAATAGGTCAATTGTACAAGTGATCCAGTTTGAATAGGATGAGTAGGTTTTTCTTTTTGTTGAGTAAGTTCAGGAAGAACTGCAATTAACAGAATAAGTAGTACATAAAATAATATTACTTCATTTAAATACACTGAAGTATTACTATAAAATTAAAAGAATTTATAGGAGTGTTATTAAGTAAAGTTTACTTATAGATTTTAACTTTAGGATCAAATTATGTGTATGTATTAAATTTGTGTTTTAAAATTAGATTTACTGTGAAAAAAATATTTTTTCAAAATTTATTACAGTAATATTGTTAAAAAATATTTGGTACTATTAATAAAAAAATAAAACAAATTATACACGCTCACTTATTTTTCTTTCCAATCGCTGCTGTTGAGATTTTAAATTTTTTATGTATTCTAAAATTTCATCATTTAAAGTAATTTTATTACCAGGTTCTCGTAAGGTTACCTGTTTAAACCACCTATCAGATGTGTTATCAAACTCCTATAAGTAACAAAAAAATAATATAGGATTACTTTTATTATCATCAAATAAAATTTTTATTCAAATAGTTTTCTTAAAATTTTCTTTAAGCTAAGATTTTATTCTTCCATTGCATACTCCATTAAAATTAAATAAAAAATGACAATTTTGTGTTAACTGTATTTATTAGTATACATCTATTTATTTTATTGATGGGAAATAAATCCGGAGTTTATTAAAATCTGTATTCAATTTCAGTGTAAAAAGTCCAGATTTTAACAACAAAATCGGATTTTATCAGAAAAATCTTATTATGAATGTGTTAAAACTTTCATGGATTGTCTTGTTGCTTGAAGTGCTTGAGGATATATCCATGTTTACAGTTGAGTTCTGACGTTTCGGACTCAACTGTAAACATGGATATATCCTCAAGCACTTCAAGCAAAAATCTTATTAATAATAAAAAATAAAGTGCAGTGGTTTCCCTTTGCCTTCTGCACTGGGAACATGGTGCTTATTTGCCACTGTAGAAGCGCACGCATGGTCACCCATCCGTTCACCTACAGCGTTAGGTGCGGCTTAACACTAGAGTTTGTCAACAACTAGTGTGATTATAGCGCCACATCACGACCCAGGAATTTGAGTAATAACCGATTAAAAAAAAATTTGAATATTATTTGTTTATAAAATATATTCAGCTCTAATATTACGTCAATATAACGTTAAATTAGCTCTTATATTTACGTCAATACATTTTGTTGGTAAATAAAAAATGTTAAAACGTACATTTTTTTTATGTATACTTACTAGGATAAAAGTTTTTTTTAAATGTTTTTCTAAGTACGATGATAAGTTGCTATTTTTTGGGACACCTTTTAGACATATTTTGCTTGTTATGACTGGAACCTGAACATTTTATGATTTTAAGATTCAATAAATAAATAAATGTTTTAATTAGCTATAACATTTATACAAACACACTATATACATATATTAAACAACATTAAATATTGTTTTGTTGAATAATTATTAGTAAATATAAAATATTTAAAACATGAAAAAAATGTAATCTTTTACTATCTTAAAAAATTAATATGTAAAGTAAAACACTAAATCAATTTCATTTTGTAAAAACAAAATAATATTCTTAAAATGTAAGATGACTGTTTATTTAAAAATTAAATTGTTATTAAAAAATTGATGGAGTAAATATACATTTTTTACCTTATTTGTTTTGTAAGCATCAGGTAATAGCCAAACATTATCTTTTTTTAAATTTTCACATATTGCATAGTCACTAATAACAAATCTATACTCCACAGTATTCAAACATTTAGCTCTACAAATTTCTTTTAATCTATCAGAATAAACTGCATAAGTTGTATTGTGTACAAGTTCTTTGGCAGGTATCAAATTTTCTTCTGAATGATGAAATATTAAAAAAAATTAATGTCAATGATAAAATTACAAAAAAGATTAATTGTAATATCACAGGAAATAGAATATTAGTATACTAAAATAAAAATAAATAAATTTCTTTAAGACAAAAACACAAAGAAAATTATTTTTATTTAAAAAAATTATTCAATTTAATGAGATTCCATTGTAAATATAAGATATTACAATATTTCAGTAATCAAATTTAATTAAATTTCAAGCAAAACTTTAAAGCTATTCATCTCAAAACACCATATTTTGATATATACCCTTTATATATTTTTAATGACATATATATATTTTTTTTCTTTTAGTTAAAATTTTTAATTAATATTTTTATTTAACCTTTAGCTTGAAATACTCACTACCTATAACAAATTGAATTACTGAATTAAAAAAAAAATTATTATTCAAAGCTTGTTAAATTCTTTCTTTTCAAAGGGTCATGGTGTTTACCATTTATATTGTAAGTGGTAACAACTACAACAACTAACAGTAATAGGCAAAGTGAAACTTAAGAGCTAGACAGTGTCTAAAGTAACCATTAATCCACCCCATTTCAAATATATTCATATGTTTGATAGACTATTATTATGTGTATGAGTAATCTTTATCATTACACATTATCAAGACAATTAAATAATATTTTTCAAACCATTTCTCTTTTTACAAATAAAATATGTTTACACGAATTAATGGCCTTACTTTTTTCAGATTTTAGTTGAAAAATAACATTTTTTAACTGTTCACTAAGTAATAAATTTCGAACATAAATACTTTCTGCATTATTACCACTTATTAGTTCAAACTTATCACCGCTTTTTGGTTGATAACAAATACTTGTAACTAAAAATAAACAAAAATTATTCTCAAAATATTTTAACAATTCATATGTAAGAATTTAAGAGAAAAATTTTCTGTATTTAAAATTCTATAAATGAGGGCTACATGTGGGTTTTTTCAATTTTTTTTACTTAAAAGTGCCATAACTTTTTCAAAAATGAACATATCAATATAATTCTTTTTTATATAGATGCATAATATCATTACCTTTCATTTGGTATATTTTTTTCATAAATTTAACCCTTTACCTGCCTACAGGGGGGGATTTAAAATTATAACTTTTTCACAAAAAATTTACTTTTCAACTTAAATTTTGAAAGTGTTCCAGAAATACTGACAATTTTATATATATCTTAAATTAAAGTTTATGTAATATACTTTAATATTAAAAAAAAAAATTTCGGACTTTATCTTATCTTCATGGTGAAAATGGCTACCGAATGCTATTTTTGTGTGAAAATTTTCGATTTTGTATTTTCCATTTTTAACTTTATTATGCTATAA